CGCCAGCCGAGGAAAGAGCAAGGACAGGGAGCGCAGAGGTGAGAAAGTTCCCCCACACCCCACCCCCACAGCCAATTACAAAGGCACAGGGGAGCAGACCAAGGAGCGCAGAAGTTCCTGAAGCTCTCATCGGCTCAGCTGTACTGTGCATTAGTGATGCAGAAGTACTGCCTGAGACATCCTGGGTGTGAGGTGCTTAGGTTTGTTGGATGGATGTAGCCATTTGTATCATTTTCTGTCAGACTGTTGGGCAGTGGGCAGTGTTCCTAGGAGTTGTTATCGTAAAGGAACAATGTGGACAGCTCTGCAGTCACATCCATGGGGATTCAACAACACAGGCTGGAACTGGCCTTATTACCCGCAAGGTTAATCTACACTGCTAAATGGCACGATGGGAGAAGTAGCTGTTTTTAAAAAGCTTAAAACTTGTAGGCTTAGCATTTCAGCTATGTTCCTGTACTTTACTGTAATATGTATTTGTTTTGTTAAAATAACTGTCTTTTATGTGTTTTGTTAAAATACCTATTTCTGCTCATCTTTAGGAGACTTTAAGTCAAAATTTGAGGCGGACAGAAAGGATACCAACAGCTACAACACCTCCACCACATCCAGCTCCCAACAGCAGCACCAGTCACCTATCCTACCCCTGCCCACACCGCTGCACCCTTTTTCCTCCACTTCCTCGTCATCAGTCTCAGGAGCTGGAGGCGTTCCCATAGCAACACTAGCTCACCTGCCTGACAGCACTACAGACAGTTGGTCTGGCTACTATGGCACCCAGAGGCAAGATGGTGTCGGGAAGTCGTTCAACAACAAGAGCACCTCACTAAAACAGCGCTGCAGGGATTACGATGGTAGGAACAGAGTGAATCATCTTTTTCTTTGTACTTTTGATTTCTGCTTTCTGTCAGGTTTTCTGTTGTTTTTAATTTGTTGTATCTGGGAGCCTTTCGTCTGTTATGGCCAAACAGGAGCTAGCAGTGTACAGCTGTTGGATTAAAATATATCTGTGGATTGAAAACTGAAATCACAGTGAAAGGCACAGCTTTTCTTCATATACTCTAGAAAGAAGATTTTGCTGTTGAGCTTATTTTTGTCATGTCATTGTGAAGTTTGCGCTGACTGTTCCCTGAACTGTAGCATTAGTTTCCCACAAGGGTTATTGATTGCCTTCCTTAGTGTTATCACTAATGACCACTGTTTAGCACACTCACTCTCTGGTCCCCAGTGAAAAGCAGGGAAGAGGGTTTAAACTTACCCAGTGTCCCTGAAGCACACTATCACAGTGCTGAAACACAGCCCCAAGGGACCCAGCTCCTTAATGAGACTGTGCGGTAAATACATGCACTGTGTCTCAGAGCTGCTTTGAACTTGGACAGTTGTTCATCTTGTTTATTTGCTCCTGCTACTCTTTCATTTGTTCTTATTTGTGTATATATATATTTTTGTCAGAATTTGTACTTAAATATACCACCAAGGGCCCACATGTCTTTAGATTAATGATGTTATGAATAATATTGTGACTAGGTACTCAGAAGTGTCAAGAGAAGAAGTACCTAGGAGATTTGTAGGTCATGTTTAGAGAATCTTTAGTGTGTCTTAAACTTTGGAAATAACTTCATGCATTTAAAAAAAAAACAAAAAAAAACAGATTTTTGAATTTTTTTTCTCCCTTACACAGAAAAAGGATTTTGTGTCCGTGGTGATCGTTGTCCATTCGACCATGGCAATGATCCCCTCATTGTGGATGACGTCAATCTACCTAATATTATTCCATTCCCACCCCCACCTGTTATGCCTCCTGCTGGCTTGCCCATGCCCCCGATCACTGAGCCACCCCCTTCCATCAGGATGCCTTCGTTGCCACCCTATGGCCAGCCACCACCACCAGGCATCTTTCCCATGACCGGTAAGTAGTGCTGCCACATTGCTGCATAAATGGCAGCTTTGGAAACTGCACATTATGTACAAGTTGATGTGAGTAGTACTGAAACCAGTGACCAGTGCAGGTGTTAGAGGAACCTGTGATTTCTACAAACTGCTGCAGTGTTGTCTCCTCCCAGTCACTTGGTTGCCCCATGATGCACGTTTTATTTAAACCACATCTCTTACAGTTTGTTCCCTTACCAGTTTCTCAGTATGGATATGCTTTGTAATATTTGGAAAAGTAGATTTCTTGTCACCTCTGGTTGTCTTCAGTGACTACCCGTTTTCTAGCTTTCATCCCATTTAAGTGAGATATTGTGATTATCTGTTGTACTAATTGTGAAGTGATGCAGATCAAGTTTGATAAATAAGGAATCACTTCAAGTATAGCCCTTGTTTTTACTGTATGTGTTAGGGCTGCACGATAAATTGTTTTGTGAGCGTGATTTACATCCCTGTACGATCTCAGTCTCACGTGACAATGATTCTGCCATGTTTGCATTAGCAGATTAGACGGTGCCTTGCATCAAACTAAGCTCTCCCTTT